ATTTCTCTCTCTTTACCGTAAGACCTGCATTTTTGACCCGTTCCAAAACCATCCGAAGGTGTTCAACATGGTCTTCCCATTTGTCCGAAATATCGCCACATCGTCTAGGTAAGGCAGCGCAAATTTCTCGAGCCCGTGGAGAACCTTATCCATCAGGCGGCTGAAACAATACGGCGCGTTCTTGAGCCCAAAGCTCATCATCAAAGGACGAAAAGTGCCCAGGGGTGAGATAAAAGCAGCGTATCGACTCGCGCGCTCTGTCAAAGGGACCTGCCAATACCCCCTAACAAGGTTCTAACGTAGAAATGTATTTCGCCTTAGACACTGTCTCTACCCTCTCTTCAATGTTAGGAATAGGGTAAGTCTGGTCGACTGTTACAGAGTTCAGGCGGCGATAGTCCACGCATGGCCTTGGATCACGGCCCGGAATCTCAACCAAAATCAAAGGCGAGGTGAAATCACTGTCTGCTTCGATGATAACACCTAGGTCGATCATGCGGCGAATTTCGGCCTCTAGTATCTCTCTCTGTCTAGGTGACACCCGATACGGCTTACAGCTGATCGGCTTGTTTTTTCTGAAGGGCACAACAGCATCACCTCATCGCCCACTCTAAAGACTCGCTTTCGAGCTGACTTATCGTAACGGGCCTTGGAAAGCGCCTGTGCTGCGCGCATGTTTGCTCTCCACCACTTCGCGTGTAGTCCCCAGTCGCCCCAATAAATCCAGTACATAGGAAACCACATTAGGGTCCTCCCCATATCCAGTCCATGACTCTCGTATTAAGTGCAGCGGACCTCTCAAGTTCCTGCCGTAGACAAGTTCAGCCGGACTAAAACCCGTACTCTCGTGTGGGGCCGACCTCAGAGAAACATCGCAGCTGGTATACACCCCTCCCAGTCACTTTTATGCTCAAAGCACAAAGCTCGCAAAACGCGTTTCATGACCGAGTGCATGCGTTCCACAGGGTTCGGACTGTGGATGGTGAATAGAGCTATGCGCGATTTTTATCCCGCAGCGTTCTAGGAATGTAGTCGTAAGGCAGCTTGTGAACACACTTCCGTTGTCACACTGTATCTCCGAGGGAAAACCCACCCGAGAAAAAATAGACAACAATGCGTCCACCACGCATACTGAACTCAACTCTTTCAGTGCGATTGCCTCCGGGAACTTGGTGGCAACGCACAGCGCGGTCAGGACGTACCGATATCCTGATTTAGATGGAGGCAGAGGCCCCACGATGTCAATCACGAGCCGACGGAAGGGTTCTGGACTATTGGCACTAGTTTCATTGGTGCCTTCCATTTGTCTGTTGATTTTCCTATCCGCTGACAAGTGTCGCATCCACGGACAAACATCTCTACATCCTTCCAGCACCCGGGCCAGTAGAACTCCTGAGCCAGCTTAGCTTTCGTTTTCTTTATACCTAAGTGGCCCGCCCAGGCGTTGCTGTGGGCCAGGTCGAGAATGTTCCGCCGGTATTTTAGTGGAACTACCACTTGGTTGTAGACCCGCCCTTTAGCGTTCTCATACCTGCGATGCAACACCTCGTTTTGGGTGTAGAACGAAACGTTCTTCCTAGAGTTACCTTCCTTAGTATGGCATCTAGCAGCATAGAGAGTGCGAGATCCGCCTTTTGATCGACCACTAGCGTTGCACGGTCGGTTCTGGCTAGCTGACACCAACTGGTGGACGCGGGTGTTAACACCGAGCCTGTCACCAAGTCCTCGTTTTCGGGCATTAGAGATATTTCCTCGCTGTTGTCGACCATAGCCCCAGTTTCCGTCTCGACAACTCGCATGGCAGACTCATTTTCCGTCGCAACTACCTCAGGTTTTCCTACACTGCCCTCGGACGTCTGTTCCCCAGAGGGTGAGCTGCTCAGCTGTTGCGTCAGCTCGCGCGCCTTCGAACGGGTAAGGGCCATGCAAGCTATTTCGGTGGCAAATGATTCTCCACGTGTTTTTAACAGTTCCTCAGACTTATTTGAAAATAGGTAAGGGAAGTGCTCCGGAAGGTTGGCTGAAATTGCTGCTTCCGTACACAATTGGCCGAAAAGGGCCCTCGATTACAACCCTCGCTATCGGTAGGCAGACGCTTTGCTTTTCTGCCACTTGCCGAATCCAGGCACACTCTCCTATATAGTCTTCGGAAGATACGCAACTTGGATGCGCTACATCCATTGTGGCCGCCGAGTCCCTCAATACCCTACACATTCGGCCGTTCACTGAGAGTGTCCTCATGTAAGGCTTCAACAGCTTTAAGCTATCCTCTGACTCCTGAATTGTGGCAAATGCCATGTGCCTCTTACAGCTCCTGGCCATGTGGCCCTTTTCTCCGCAGCTGTAGCAAACAACTGGCTTCCGCGCTTCTAACGCATGCGCTATGTCACCAGGCGCCTTTGAACCTGATGAAGGTGCCGCCTTAGTCCCCTCACTGTCCTTTCCCTGCTGATTGTCTAATAACTGGAATTTTCGGGTTTCCAGTTATTTCTTGCAAACCTCTTGCGTCCCTGGTTTCCCAACCAGCTTTCTACCTTTTCATTTTTTTCCGAAGTTCGTGGTGTATTTCGGAGACTACGGCGTGAGCAGTAATCTTCGGCGAGTTCTGCTGCCCTGTTCATGTCTACGTCTTTCATCCTATCCTGCACCCAAAGCCTTACCTCCTCGGGAATTCCCCGGTAAAACTGCTCAAGTACCATCAACTCAATGACCTTGTCATGGTTGCCATAGACTTGCGCGCTTTTGAGCCACTCTTCAAAGTTGGCTCTAATTTGGTAGGCATAGTCTGAATGAGATTCGTTGCCCCTCTTAGAGTGCCTGAACCGCAGGCGGAAAGCCTCTGTCGATAGGCGACATTTTCGTAGCAATGCAGCCTTTACCCTGTCATACACCTCGGAGTCCTCTTTATTCATTCTTGCGATAACATCGGACACTTCGCCTGGTAGTACGCATATCAGTTTTTGTGGCCAAGTCTCCCTACTAAACCCTGCATTTCGCATGCTCGCTCAAAATGCACGAGGTATAATGCAATGTCGTCACCCGCCTTGAAGGTGTGGATTAGATCCTTTATCTTTGATTCTCCACCCCCTGAATTTTGATTTCCCACGGACATACGAAGCTCCAGTTCTTTCAGACGGATTTCATGTTCTTTATCCTCGCGATCCCTCCTTATTTCCTCCTCTCTTTGTTCACGGGCTAAGCGCTCACGCTCCTCTTTCTTTGCCAAATGGTTTCTCTGGCCTCAATGGCCTCTTCTAACTCACTTCCTCTTTTCCCAAGTGCTCCAAAATTTGTTGTTTTCTTTTAACCGAGCCGACCGAAATATTCAGCTCCTGACAAATTTCGAGGAGTTCTTGGACCTTAAACTTCTCCATCTTAGATATGCACACCGTTTCTCTTCTAAGGTAATTTTGCCCACGAGCCACCCAATTCTTGGTCTGCGAATCAAAATTTACCAAAATCACCCTACCACGTTACCGACCATCTGCGCTAACGAGTCTGGCGAAAAGAAGAGCAAACACGCGGCACTCACCACTTCGATGCAGCCGACGCAGGCGAATCCCACCGCTGCCACCACTGTTGCGCCTTTGGGTAGCGTGGTGCGGACTCGGGCCATCCGAGTCCCCGGAGAGGACGAGTAGGAGAAGCCGGAGAAGGAGAAAAAAATGTTTATATACAGTATTTACATGGTAGCGTGGTACAACAATGAAAAGAGAATCACACACGAGCGCCTCTGCGCTAGCGTTTTTATACATCGTCCGCCTTCCCAAGATCCCTTGCAAAGAAAATTTATGCGCAGGATACTCCAATGAGATCGTCGTCTTCCTCTCCGTCCTCGAAGAGGGAAAGCCAAACACCGCCTCCCTCCTGAACCTAGGAAAGGGGCAAGACATGCCCAGTTCGCTGTTTGGTGAGGGAGACCCCACGCGCCAGCGTGGCACCACAGCGAGATGACGTGGAATCCCATGCGCAAAGTCGCTCCCTGATGCAGCCAGGTTGACTCAAGCAAGGCAGAATACCCCGTACAGCTGCTGGGTCGACGCTGCTTCGGAGTGTTGCTCTCGGCGGCTGACAAAAGCTTGGCCAACGACTTTTGTGTCAAGAGGAGCCGGCGACGTGGTTTTTCCAGATTGTCCGCGTCCGTCGCCGTCCCGGTGCAGGGTTGACTCATCAACAGCTGCCAGGTGCCAGCAGGCCGCGAAGACCACGTGGAACTTGGGCGAGGCACAACACCCAAGAGGGGTCAAGTTAGGACACTCCGCGGCACTCAAGAAAAGTTGTTCTATTTCCCCAAGTCCAGAAAGTTTGAGAACACCTGGCCTAAGAGTTTCCGAAATCGCATCCTTACCTCTCCTTATCTGTCGAGAGGATGTGAATGGAACGTGAATACGAGTCCACTTAAGTCTTTGTCGCTTCGCTGACAAGTTGGCCGCGCTGCGCTCGCGTCTTCATGATAGGCTTTTATGAAAAATGTGCAAAAACGCCCCGTCTCGATAACAGTCGATAACATTTTGCACATTCTTCGCGGTTGTTGATCTATTATTGATTTTCACTATTTCAAGCTTTTCCCAGTTTTACGCTGGGCGGAGCTTTGTAAATGGCCCGAATGCTGCATTGTTTGCGAGTCGCCGCTGTCGATGACCTTGCTCGCTGAGCAAGAATTTGCGCGAGGCTTCACGCTTCTCTCTCCACCGGTGAACAACGTTACGTTAGGTTACGCAACCCAGCTCGGTCGCACCTGCGCCGCAACGCGCACGCACTCACCCACTATTTATTTACTATTTTCTCAACCAGCCTTTTCTGCTTTACGTAACGAATGCACCTTGAGACCTGGGCATTTCAGCGGCATCCACTGGCGAGGGCTTCTCTCTTTCAACCATTCGCGGCGCAGACGGAATGTGACGCTGTGTCGAGCAGCCTGGACTGTCTGGACATTCATCCTTTCTCGTGCACGGCTACGCTTTCCCTTTTCCTTTCGTTTCTCTCTCCTTCCGTAAGGCGCATGGCGCGCCGCTGAGCGTTACGGCCGCCGAACCAGACAGAGTTCAGATTACCCGGCCGCGGCAGCGCGTGATAGCTCTCGTCTTTTCTGACCTAGCCAGTCGGCACGCCGAGGAGGAAGGCGAACCACGAACGGCCCCTGCATCGGCGGCCAGGAACGGAACCCCCCTCTTCCATTCTTTTTTCCTTCCGGGTGGAGCGACCGGTCGGTCCCTCGAGCGACCAACTGCAATAGCCTACGAGAGAGTTGCGAAAGGGGGGCCTAGCGCAACGGCAAAAGACGCACCACCACCTGTGCACACGAAGTGGGGGTCAGACGTGCAAGATCCACGGGGTGTCGGACGCGTCACAGAGGCGAGCGTCCACTAGACAGCAGCAACAGGTGTATTCGGTGCGAGCACAGCTCAACGTCACCACGATGTTGGCCATGCTGTATCCGTCAGTGTGCTTGTCACTAGTGGTGGGATCCTGGCTGATTGCGCCGGGCCTCTGGACGCTGGCCCAGACACTCGGTGCTCTGTGGTTGGTGTCCCTGGTTGGACGCTGGATCACCGCCGAAATCCACGCCTTCATCGGAGGAAAACCCGTCGATCCCAAAGGAAAGGCCGTCCTCATAACAGGTAGGCGCGCGGGATTGGCGCCGAATTTCGCTTCATTCCGTCGTCACTTTCGTTGAACATCCTGGCGACGACCAACCGTGGTTCCTGAAGGGCTCGCACGATGCCAATGCTGATGAAGTGAAATCATTGTGTTGTCGATAATTTCATGGGTAAAGTAGAGTGACAGACATGCATGAAACTGTGGTGCTGCAAGCGTCGACGTAGCCTTAATTAGGTGATCGTTCCACTTTGTAAATGTTTGCGACGCTTGCACTTGAGCTATAGTTTTTGAGCGAGATTTTTCATCATTTCCGAGCGAAATTGTGTGATGTTAAGTTTGTCTCGATGCCTGTGTTAGCTTAGTTCCGATCGCATTGCGAGCTGGCGTCGAATCTGTGGATTGAAAGCTAGCCATGTTGTCGTGATTTCGATCATCAGGAAATGCGGGAGCCCAGTTGAACAAAGCTGATCGCCAGCTGCGGCCCGTATCAGTATAAAATTGAACATTAGTAAACTTCAAACACGAATACACTATCCGCAAGAGCGTGATTCGGTTGGTCACTTATTTCTTAAGGCTGATTCCATATTTGTTTCTTTTCATGACCTAGTTTCCGTTCAGCGATGAAGCCACTCATCACTCCAAGCATACATCACTGGTTAAAAAAAATAGTTGTAGCAAGTGCGATGTTAGTACAATGTAAATGTGTTACGTTGTAGGTACTGCAACAGAAATTTAAAAAAAAATATGACGTTAATCGCAGTCAGGAAAATGTGGTAATTATTCATTGTAGAACTTCTTTCATTGTGAAGTTTACACAAACGACCCTGGATAAATATCATGTCCAGATCCAATTTATACGACCTATTCAATTACATGGCGAAAAGGAATAGATTGCTTATTATTATCATTTTCAAACTGCGAAACAAAAATGTATGTCCGACATTTTAGTTATCACCTACTTTTATACAGCTTTTCCCCCCTCTTGATTAGATGTAAACACTTACATTGCGTATAATTCGTATTTTCCACTTTCGCTCCGTTGAACATGTCTTGAATGCGCCGGAATATGATAAGTGGCAATCACCAATGATTTCTAATACATCGTCCTTAAAGAAGAAGACGACAAGAAGCACTCAAATTCTGAACATCAGGCTGTTGGCAAGGCCAAGCGCTCACGTTCTGGCGAAGCGGCTCGAAGAGATGTCGTCGTTCATGTCGACGCAGCTTGTGAAAAACAAGGCGCGGCGAAACGCGGATGGAAGCGAGTAAACGTCAAGACTACGTGCAAAGGCTTAAGCGCTAAAAGAAGATGCCTTCGGTTATCGCTGTTTCTCGGCGACACCGGCTTAGCTTGTGTTTGAGTATGGCAGGCCACGTCTCGAGTACAAGATGATAACGGGAATACGTGCAACTGGGTTCTGTTTGGACGAAATTTTGTAAGATATGATATGGTAGCACACATCGGAAACGACTACTTGTCACACTTAAGCGCTGGTGTTTCCCGCTCACTCTGTATTGTCCTTATTTCCCGCGTGTGCTGTCATATCTGAGGCTCCTTGTTTTCGGATAAATTCTGTAAAAACAATCCGGCAAATAAACACACACTCGCCGGTTACGTTTTTGACAGAACGAATTTATATGATGAGCTCCGATTTTAAAGGGCATTTTCGAAGTTTTGAGGGGCTTTTCAAGACCCGCTATGGTGGTCTAGTGGCTAAGGTGCTCGGCTGCTGACCCGCAGGTCGCGGCATAAATTCCCGGCTGTGGCGGCTACATTTCCGATGGAGGCGGAAATGTTTAGGCCCGTGTACTCAGATTTGGATGCACGTTAAAGAACCCCAGGTGGTCGAAATTTCCGCAGCCCTCCACTACGGCGTCTCTAATAATGATATGGTGGTTTTGGGACGTTAAACCCCACATATCAATCAATCAATCAATCAATCAAGGGGTTTTCAAAGCTGAGAATCATCGATTCAAAGGAACGCAATTTATTTGCGGCAGCAACCTCGCAATGTATTGCTTGCGTAACAAGCTTTAAGGCTGTAATAGGAACAAACGTATGCGTCTGGTATTCAAGTGTTTATGTGATCAAACCTTCCAGACATTTAAAATGCACTCAGTGCAATGGCATGTATTGTGTTCAGATCTCATTTCATGTAAATCTGAGATATCTGAATAATAATAATAATAATAATAATAATAATAATAATAAAAGTAATAATAATAACTAATTCTTTGATTATCGTCAGTAAGATGAAGCAAGCTGGTACAAAAGCTGGAAACCAGCTTTACTAAATCCCGCCTCCTTGCAAAAAAAAAAAAAAAAGCACTTGGGTGACTTTACAGCTTGGCAAATCAACACATGTGTCACAGGGTGAAAAAACAGGAAGAGAGAAGAAATGAAAGGAGAGAGAAACAGGATTATCTTTAACAATGCAAGGCATATTTATTGGAAACAAAGCTTATAATGCACTATTAAACAGTGAATTTCAGAGAATTGAGTATTTACAGGAAACGAACACCGATAAACGCTGAACTTCCTCCGTAAATATACACACTGCGAAAAACACTCTCAGAAGTTCACGAAAAGTAAACTTCGAAAACAGGGCGCTTTTGTTATAACCCGTGATAGCTATCCGGCCAGTACATTTAGTGCCTCTTGTGAGCCGCTACCACTCAAATTGTTGATTGCGTGCAGATTGAAAATGCAATAAAGTAGTACGCGCGTGAGAAAAAGTATACGTAACTGCCGCCCGCACACGCACTATCAGCGTCAAATGAAACGCGAACAGGGGCAAGCCTTCGCGATAGTATAGTGCATGCCATACGCTTATCACTACGAACAGGCAGGCATATATGCGCAAAGCTGCCGAACGGAATGCGCGCATCTGTCAATGGTGACGACTGGGCGACACGCGCTATACTATCGAAAAGGCGTGCCGCTGCTCGGGTTTCATTGGACGCTAATGGTACGTCACACTGAAACAGTGGCTAAGGTGCTCGGCTGCTCACCGAAACAGCGCGAGTCAATCTCTGTGGACGCGAAATGGCAGATACCTGTGTTTTGTCCGATGTCAGTGCATGCTGAAGAACACCAGATGCACTAAGTTTCCGAAGCCTTTACGGCGCCTCTCACAATCGTACCGTGGTTTTGGGACGTAAAACTACAGATATGATTATGGTGTCCGTCTACCTTTGCCTTCTGCAGCACACAGTGGCGAGCCGCCTGCTGTCGAGAGCATTCCCCCGGCGGATTCCGTGAGAGTAATGCTGTCGTCATCAATTCCGTCAAAGTAATACTCTCGACAGCAGGCGGCTCGTGACTAGATAGACGGTGTAGACAGCGATTGCGTTGCCGTGGGACTTTTTCTCACCAGCGCTCATTGAATCAGTTTCCACGGGCGAACGAAGTCTACTGCAATTGATTCCGCCATCATTTTCGGCGTTTTTAAGTCCGGAGCATTTCATAGTCGCACGTGGTGGCAAACTCTGGCGTGCGCCGTCAACACTCCCACTGCTCATGCTCGCCTCTCATGCCAACTGTCTCCCCCCCCCCCCTTTCGCATCGCCAGGCCGACGCAGGAAACGTCTGCTAATACATAGCGACTGCTCGCGCTGCACAACCATTCTTTGGCCACTCCGTTTAGTCGCGTAAGGTTAAGCTGGCTCTAGCAGACGCTGGCACGATGAATGAAGTCATAGCGAGCTAGCTCGGGAAGTTCAGGGAAGCGCTTTCATGTTTATGTATTTATTTATTTATGGATTTATCAGTTTATTCATACATTTTTGCGGGCGTTCTCTCGCCTTACAGGCGAGAGAACGCCCGCAAAAGTGATGCTCTCGGTCTTGCGAAATTGCAATTCACCTGTACGTAGAATCCGTTCATCTATTTAGCGTCAATTTAAAGGCGAACGTCGTTGTCTACCCTCCCGATGGTTTGTTGGCCCTGCTATGCAGCTACCGTGTGCCCCTGGTGCGGCTTCGCTCTTGGCCAACAACGCTTCCGAATAGCTGTTTAAAACTATGCCTGTTCACAAGCGAAACTCCTAAAAGTGGATTATTACGCGTGTTGTAATAGTGAGCGTTATAGCACGGACATGTCTTTTCTTTCTTCACCACGCACTGTATACATCGCTATGTAGGTGTTTAGGTAAATTTAAACAGCGCTTAGAACGAGATGCCAGAGTAGAAGCAGAGAGTACGTACGCAAGGAGCATTAAAAAAAGAGAAAAACTTGCTGGAGTAGAAGCTGCCACAATAGACCATTTCACTGTTTACAAACATAGGCTCTTGATGTCATTTAGTTTCGAATAGCGATGTACCATGATAGCATTAATGGACAACGAGAGCTTTAGAAAATATTCCACTGATTTTCTACAGTTTTCTTTCCTTATTTTGGAAATAAATTCACACAAATGTTCTTTTGAGCTACGTAAAAATTTTAAGGCATTCTCTTTTACTTTACGCACGTTCCTTTTACGTAAAAGAAAAAAAAAATCACAGCTTATCCATGGAGTGCATGATGATGAGTGGGGCGAAGCATCCGTCACTCCGTCCGCGCTTACACCCGTCCGTTCGCCCTTGCTTCCCTCCGTCCTTGCATTCATTCGTCTGTGCGTCCGTCCGTTCATCCGTCCATTCATCTGTGCATCCCTCCGTGCGTCCGCTTATTCATGCGTTATTCAGACCTTATACTGCGCCTAGTACGATGGCAGCCGCTACGTTTTGGGGCGTATGGTTTCACTCTTTTGCAATAGTTTCCACTTCAGTATTTTTTAAATGCTCTTTGCTCTGATGTAGTTTCCATAATATGTCTTACCAATTAGACTTTAACGCACGCTCTTTGAGTTTGTATCTGGGCCGAGCAGCGAAGTAATGAAATCATAATATGACTATGAAGAACGCCCCATTGAAGGGCTCAGAAGTTTCGGTGATTGCACAGAGATCGCACACTACCCGGGCCGATCGCCTCCATTGAAATCCGACCACGGCGGCTGAAATCAAATTGGCGACTTTCGGG